GTAGTAGTAGGCGCCCCCCCCTACCAACTACACTTGCTTAAAACCATGTTAAGAGCACATCCGTTTTACTCGGTATTTACGGATGTGCTCTTAACATGGTTTTAAGCAAGTGTAGTTGGTAGGGGGGGGGGGGCGCCTACTACTACTACTACTACTACTACTACTACTGCTACTACTACTAATACTATTACTACTAGTACCAATACTAGTTTGGGTATTCAAGGTTTAGAGACCGGGGACAGAGGTCGAAAAAGAGCAGGGCTGTTTGGATTACTCGATGGGTCATTGAGCTTGTCCCTTTTGGAATCTTTTGGGGTTTCTGCGGGGCTTAAGGGATCCGACTTACGAACATAGTTCAGAGTGCTGTTAAGCGCCGGCCTAGGTCGCTCTAAGGCGCCAAACTGACAATTCTCGGCTCAAGGCTCGAGCGGTGTAGGGTTTAGGGTTTAGGGTTTAGGGTTTAGGGTTTAGGGCACATTTTCCGAACGGTCTTTGCATCCCGTTTGGGCCCTGGCCTTCTACCCTAAACCCTCAGCCCTTAACCGTAAACCGACGCTGTCCAAAGCATCGGGCTCACGTCCATGAAAGAGCTCCTACGGAAGAGATCATGAGCCTAATCTCTTAAGCCCTTGAAGCAGACCCAGAGAACCCAATACCCCTTAATTAAGGAATATACCTTAAATGATAGGGGCCCTAATATTATGATTTGAGGTATATTCCTTAATTAAGGGGTATTGGGTTCTCTAGGGATCCTAAACCCTAAACCCTAAACCCTAAACCCTTTATGATCCCGGTACCCACGCATCCCGGAGCTGCAGCATCGCACAATGCGGCTGTCCCATTCTTAACCCGAATCAACACCACAGAAGCCGTTGACACCCCAGAGTCACATCCCTAAACCCTAAACCCTAAACCCTATGCGGTACCCTAAACCCTACACCCATGTCGGTGCTTTAGGACCTTAGGGTTTAGACTCTTAGCCATTGGGCTTCGGGTTCCTGGCTCGGCCTCCATCCTTAGTGTTCAGGGTTTTGGGTTTGGGGGTTTAGAGCTTTGGGCTTAGAGTTTAGAGTTGTGGGTTTTGGGTTTAGAGATTTTTTGTTGGGTTTGGGGTTTTGGGTTTGGAGTTTAGGGCGTTGGGGTTTTGGGCCTTTGGGTTCATCATCCGTCCCAGAATTTCCCTGCCTGGCCTCCCAGGCCCAACAGCACCGAACCCTGCAGATCATCAGAGGGATGTGGCTGGAGCATCGGTGCCTCGGCGTACCGGTCCTATTAAAGCGCCCTTAAAGGGACTTTCGCATTACAGTTACAGGCCACCCGAACAACGATCCTAAATAAAGGGAGCCTGGTGTACCCTAAACTTTAAACCCCAAACCCCTAAACCCAAAACCCCGAAACCCCCGGAAGGGAGGAAGCGACTTTTCAGAAGCCCTTTTACAGGTCTTAAGGGCCGGAAAGGGTGCAGAGGGCTGCAGAGTCTTTGTAGGTGCTGCCCCTGGAACCGCGGAGACAGCTATCGCCTTCTTGCTTCACCGTTGTCTAACATAGGGGCCTCAAGAATTAGAATAGGGTTTTGGGTTTTAGGGCTTAGGGTGTAGGTATAACTATAATAAGGAACCCCCAAAACCCTGTTCTAATTCTTAAGGCCTCTACATCAAGGATTTCAGGAAGTCAGGCTGTACTTCCTTGGAGGTTGCTGATCTTTCGGAGGGTTTGCAGAGGAGGTCCGGCGATGCCTCGTGGAGGCTCAGGGAGCTCTCGAAAATCCTGCACGCAATGCTTCAGAATGCCGTGAAACCCTATCAATGCCAATGTAAGAAAAGGGGCCTTAATAATTAGAACGGGGTTTTGGTGCCCATTATGCGATATTTATCAGAAGGAGCCCACAAAATAATATTGGTTACCATATTTAAAATAAGAAACCCACAAAATAACATTGGTTATTATTTAGGCTTCTACAGTAGCGGTTCCGCGGTTTCGATTTGTTTGCAAACCCCAATTCCCTCCTAGGCTCCTGCCTGCGACAGTCAAGGGGGTAACAAGCACTCGCCAAAGAACAACCTACCAGATTTCGACCCTAAACCCCAAACCCTTAAACCCTAAACCCTGAGCCCTATACACCCTAAGCCCTGAGCCCTAAGCCCTAAACCCTAAGCCCTAAACCCTAAACCCCGAACCCTAAACCCGCAACTCTGCTAGACTTCAGGAGACTGGGGACCTTGCGACAGCAGCTGCGGGGAAGGGCTGCAGACGCGCCGGGTGGAATGCTGCCTGGCTGGGCTTGGCGGTTTTCGGTGTGAGAAATGCAGGGGTTTAGGGTTTAGGGTTTAGGGTTTAGGGTTCGGGTTTAGGGTTTGGGGTTTGGGGTTAGGGTTTAGGGTTTAGGGTTTAGGGTTCGGGGTTAAGGGTTTACCTATAGTCTCCATTGCAGTTCCTTTTTTTGGTTTAACCAAATATCTATTAACGAGTTTATAAGGCATCCCCCAAAAAGGAACTACAATGGAGACTATAGGTAGGGGTTAGGGTGTCAGGGTTCATGGCTGGGAGTGATAGGGTTTCTCCAATGGTTTCGGGTTTAGGGTGTCAGGGTTCCTGGCTGGGAACGATGACCCTAAACCGCCCTAAACCCTAAACCCTAAACCCTAAGCCCATAAATGACACAACAGGGTTTTGAGTTTATTTACGACTATATAGGAGGCTCCACTGGCTGCAGTCAAACCCCAAACCCTAAACCCTAAACCCTAAACCCTAAACCCTAAAACCCCTAAACCCTAAAACCCTAAACCCTAAACCCTAAACGACATCTAACGGGAACAGTAGGGTTTCGAGTCTGATTAGGGGAACAATGTTACATTTAGGATACAACCTGGGGAGCTCTCCGGTGTTAGAATAGGGTTGTGGGTTTAGGGTTTAGGGTTTAGGGTTTTAGGGTTTAGGGTTTAGGGTTTAGGGTTTTAGGGTTTAGGGTTTAGGGTTTTAGGCTTTAGGGCTTTAGGGTTTAGGGCTTGCCAACTGAAGC